TACTAACCGGGCTACCTGACCAGGGCCCATGGTTGCACGTTTAAGGAGGGGGTTGAGAGAAGGCCTCATTGAGAAGGGGACATTTGGGTAAAACCCTGAAGGAGGTGGCACCACAAACAGAGGTGCCAGCAAGTGCAAAGGCCCTCAGGTGAGAGGACCTTCGGGTGAGCTGGTGGAACAGGGAGGGGGCTGTGTGGCTGGAACAGAGGGGCCCGAGGATCTGCATTAGGAGAGGAGTTCCGGAAAGGTCCCGGTGGTGCAGAGAGAGTAGGACCTTGCAGGCCGCTGTGAGAACTTTGATTCTGAGTGAGGGGAGAGCCACGGCCAGGTTCCGAGAAGAAGGTTCAGGCTCATTTTTAAAAAAAGATCATCTTGGGCCCTGGCTGGTGTAGCTTAGTGGATTGAGCACGAGCCTGCGAACCAGAGTATCGCGGTTCAATTCTCAGTCACGGCACATGCTTGGGTTGCAGGCCAGTTCCCAGTAGGGGATGCCTGAGAGGCAACCATACATTGATATTTTTCCCCTTCCCCTCTGAAGATAAATAAATAAATAAATCTTTCAAAAAAAGGGATCATCTTGGCTGTTGTGTTGACAAGAGAACTGCAAAGTTCGAAGCACAGAAAAAATTGCATTTTTCAGCAATGGAGGCTGGACTTGGTGGAGCTGGACCAGGGAGGAGGAAGTGGGGGTAATGGGCAATGGTCGGAGTGGGGGGGGAGCGAAGGGAGGATCTGCTAAAGGATTGAATGTAGCTCGGCAGAGACAGGGAGGAAGATGGAGTATGGCTCCGAGAATGTGGTCCGAGCAGCCCACTTGGAAAGCCCCTGTCACTGTGCACAAGTGCAGAGGGGCACGGGAGACAAACGCAGTGTGGGAAGCCCCAGGTGGCTGCCCACGAGCTTCGACACCTGTCACTGCTAGTCGGTTTCATTTCTCCTGTGCCCCCACCTACCCTCCATCTCATACCACATTGGAACACATCTCTGACTTTATTTCCTTTAATTGGCACACATTTTTCAGAAAGATAAGCTCCACTTAAAAAAAAAAAGGGAACAGCCCTGGCTGGTGTAGCTCACTGGATTGAGCACGGGCCTGGGAAGCAAAGGGTCGCCGGTTTGATTCCCAGTCAGGGCACATGCCTGGGTTGCAGGCCAGGTCCCAGCAGGGGACACAGGAGAGGCAACCAGACATTGATGTTTCTCTCCCACTTTTTCTCCTTCCCTTCCCCTCTCTCTAAAAAAAATAAATAAATAAAATATTACAAAAAAAGAAACACAAACCTGTCACAAAGCTATTTTATACCTGTTAACAGTTGATTCACAGAGACCAGCAGAGTCTCCCCAGGGCCACCAAAGGGAAGATTAAATTAGACAATTTGAGTTGGGTTTTTCTTTTTCCTTTGTTTTAAGATTTTACTTGTTTATTTTCAGAGGGGAAGGGAGGGAGGAAGACAGGGAGGGTAACATCAGTGTGCGGTTGCCTCTCAAGCGTTCCCTACTGGGGACCTGGCCCACAACCCAGGCATGCGCCCTGACTGGGAATTGAACCAGTGACCCTGTGGTTTGCAGGTCCGCGCTCAGTACCCTGAGCCACACCAGCCAGGGCTGAGGTGAGATTTCCAAAGCAACACATTGGCTAGGACGGGGTAAGGATTATGGCACAATAATTTAGGATTGGTGAACATGAGAAAATGGGGGTCTGGAAACAAGTCTTGATATATGAACTGTTGTCTGGTGAATAAACTTTTTGCCCAGGTGAGCAATCCTCAGAAAAGAGCTGTTTGCCCAGGTAAACAAACTGCTTGCCCAGATCAACTGGTTTGTAGGAATTTCCTGGACCAAATAATGAATTCTTCATTGTTTTACAGATATAGTCTTCTAGGCAAGACTTTCTTGGAACAAACTCTTAAGTCATGTTGAAATACATGGTCTCAGTTCTTATATATAATTGAATTTAAAATACTTAATATGGTTAAGTAACCAATCAATGAATAGACTTCCTTACCTGTCTCATATAATTATTTTCCTGGTTTTTATTTTTTATTTTAAAATATTTTACTTATTTACTTTTAGAGAGGGGAAGAGAAGGAGAGAGAGAGGAAAAGAAACATCAGTGTGTGGTCGCCTCTCGCACACCCCCTACTGGGAACCCGGCGAGCAACGCAGGCATGTGCCCCGACTGGGAATTGAACCGGCGACCCTTTAGTTCACAGGCTGGTGCTCAATCCACTGAGCCACACCAGCCAGGGCTACTTTTTAAAATCAGAATCCAAGTGAGATCTATACACTGCATTTGATTTTGTGGTTAAGCCTTTAAAACTACAGCTTCCTTTCTCTTTTTTTTCTTCTAAAAATAATTTTGGACAAAGCCACAGTCTGGATTTTGCTCCCTTGGTGTCCCCATGGCATCGTTTAACATGACCCTTTACCCCATGAGTTCCTTTTAACTTGGTAGTTGGAACTACTGATTGTTGGGAACCGCTCTGCCTGGTTTTAGGAATTGTAACTGTCCCCCATGGATAAGGATGAGTGAGTGACCTCCAGAATGTGGGCCACAAAAGAGACAAAGTCCTCAATGCTTGGACGGTTAGTCTTCGACGGGTACGACCCCTGGGGTGTGGCAACCTAAGCTAGACACCATCACTTGGGAGGCCATCATGGAAGGACTCAGGGGGCTGCAACAAAGAGGGAGCAATGGACCCTCGCCCCTCGGCTATTCTGACATAGCCTGAGTCCCCATTTCCATCTGGGAGAAGCATTTCCTGGCTCTCATCCATTTAAGCCTAAAAACCTATGACTGGGAAGGCAGTGCAGCCCTTTGCTGGCTAGAGTGGGTTCCGGGGTGATTGGGCATAAGAAAGAGTTTGTAAAGTCCTGTGAAGCCTGCATTGTTAAGAGTGCTTTCATTCATATGGGAAAGGTCCGAGCAGAAAATGAGTTTGTCTCCCGAAGTTTTTGCAACTCCCTTTCCTGACAGACACTGACTCAGACTAAGCCCTCAGATTTCTTTGAAATATCATCTACTGTTTGATCCTTGCCGCCTGACATTGATTGATGAGCTTTGCCTGTATTCCTGTGGGTTTTGACCCTAATAAAAGCCGTTGAAGAAGAGGTTCTTGGTCCTTCTCCTGTGAGAGATTGACCACCTCTCCTCCCCAAGCAGATCATGTCTTAGTAGTTTTATTTTCATCCATGGTGGACCAGGGGGACTGGTGGGCAAAATTGCCCCCACAAGTGATCTACTTTAAGCTACTCTGTTAAAATAATACAGCAGATGGGGGCAGTGGAAGAATAGGAAGCACCAGGAATCCATCTCCCCACCGAGCGAGCCATGGCACAGGCAGAAGCTGTCTGACTATGATGAACCATGGAGTCTGTCGAAGACTTGCACTTCAAGTGTAGTTAGTTTTGGTCAGTTTCAGCTCTCACCGCAGCAGACACGCGGCTACTCGCCCTTCAGCCCCAGCCCCCTGGCAGGCGGCTCTGTGTGTTCTGCATCAGCTTGCAGGCTGCGTGCGGGAGCCATAGTGGGCAATGGGCACTTTGCACCCCAAATGTCAGGGATCTGGGCTCTGGTCGCTGCTCCGGACCAGAGGTGCAGACAAGATGGTGGGCAGCCACTGTTGATGTCTGTCCCTTGTCGCTGCCAGCCCATCTTCCTCCAGCTGCCATGGAGAGCTGGTGCCCTTTCTCCCCCACTCATTTTTGCTTCTTCCCTTCAGGGAGCCAGATGTGAAAGATGAGAACATTGGAAGACTATCACATATATGGGGGAAATTAGAAAGTGATTGGAACAACCAGGGACAGGCTCAGTAAACCTGAGAGGACTTTAAGGTTGGTCCTTGGCACAGAGACCGCCTACGATGATCAAAACATCAAAAGTAGTAAACAGCAACACAATGAAGCAGCAAACTGACCAAGCATTGGGGGCTTTGTCTCATTTGTGGCCCACATTCTGGAGGTTGCTCACTCCCCCTGGGGAAGGGGAGAGGGTGACACAGAGAACCCTCTAGATTCCACCAAAAGAAACCCAACAAACCCAGAACCCCATGTGTTGGGTCTTGTCCAGTGTGGTTCCGCTGGGAAGAGCGTCATCACACAAACTGAAAGGTTGTGGGTTTGATCCTGGTCAGGGCACATGCCTGGGTTGCAGGTTCGGTTCCCGGTTGGGGTGTGTGTGAGAGGTAACCTATCGAGATTTCTCTCTCCCATTGATGTTTCTCTCCCTCTTCTTATCCCTCCCTTCCCTTCTCTCTAGAATTAATGGGCATATCCTTGGGCAAGAATAAGAAAAAAAAAGAATGGAAAGGATGCTTTTCACTGCTGAGAAACGAGATTTCATTATTCAATAACCTTTGACATTCTTTTGTCAGAGAGGAAATTGTCTGTTTGGCTTCTGCCACTCATGTCCTTCTCATCCTCCAATGCTTGACAGAGGGTTCACCCCTGACTTTCACAATGGCCCAGCTCACAAGGCTTTACAGTGTTTGTTTCCAGGACATAAGGCCTGTGGAGATACACCTCTCTGAGGCCTGACCATGGTTAGAGGCAAGAGTGGATGTCTAGGGTTCTGGATTATACTTGTTAACCAAAAAATAAAAGGTCATGGGGAGAGGCAACAGGCGTTTATTTGTGATCCAAAAGAACAGCTCTCCGGGAAGCACTGATTCATACAGAAACCCAAATAGTGAGGAAAGGCAGGGTTCGTAAAAGTCCAGGCTGTGCATGCTGCCTCAGTTTACCGTGTTTGTGTAAGTGAAGGACTCCGGCCGAGTTAGTGAGGATCTGTTGAGTTCAACAGGCACACGAAGGATGCTGGGGGCAAAATGGGTTGGCTTTCAAAGTGAGGACAGTAGAGGGTCTGGTTGCCTTGATGGGGAAGGAACTAGGGTCCAGGCATGGCTGACAAGTTCAAAAGCTCAGTTAGTAGAGTGTCATCCTGATACCCCAAGGTTGTCAGTTCAATCCCTGGTCAGGGCATGTACAAGAATCAACCAATGGTGCTCGATTTGGCAGCACATATACTCAAATTGGAACGAGACAGAGAAGATTAGCATGGCCCTTGCGCATGCTAAATTCATGAAGGAGAATTTAAAGGTTTGTGCTTTTAGAATTTGTCAAAATGTCTAGTACCTACAGGAATAGTGTTTATTGTCTCTTCTGCACTCCAGAATACAGCACTTGCACATTCGCTTATTAGTCTTGTCAATCAAAGCTTGTTGCTGCCAATTTAACTCCAATGGGAGTCCCCATTTGGGGTGCAGTGGGGAGGAGGGTGACTTGATTCAGTGAAAACAGTTCAATATGATAAAGCTCAATTGTGGGCAGCTCAGTGGAAGTGGCCCAGGCCTAGGCTGGTGAGGTGGCTCTGGTGTTACAGCTGCAGCTGGGGAACCACAGCCTTTGATGGAAACTCAAAGTGCATTCTGTTGAGGTCAAGTTGGCTTCTATCAGTACAAAGAAGAGTGCCTGCCTCTGGCAGCTGATTGGTTCATTTCCATGCAAATGAGACTCCAAATCCTCACAGTGTGATTGGTCCAAAAGCACTATTCCAAGTTGGTCAAAATGGAGCTGCTCTGATTGGTCAGTGAGGATGAAAATGAGGCTATGCCTGTGCAGCCCCGATTGGCTGGGGCAGGTCTTTAGCCCATTGATGGATTTAGGAACCCGGGAGATCTTTTATAAGGGGCAGTTCCAAGGACAGACACAGTGCAGGAGGCAGGCAGCTCAGGGCCGCTTCACCCTGAAGCACAGAGGGAATTAGAGGCCCCTGTATCTAACGCCTATTAGACTCTGTTTATGAATTTGAGCCCTATTAGCCACGAGGAGTCCTTCTTAGTAGGTTTTTTTCTTTCTCAGGGTCGACAGATGTAAACTTCCCTACTACTCAGCCCCAAATACCCACACAGCAATCCGGCATTCTTTGCTCTCCAGGAGCTTTTAACCAACTAGCAAAAACTGGACAGGTAAGTATATAAAAAATATAATTAAGATGAATTAAAAATAGAAGGTAGAAGGAAAAAGAGATACGGTGGTGATGATGAGATCACTCCTCTCTGAAAAGAACATCGTGTTAAAGTTACCATGACGTTGACATAATATTAAATGTTAGAAACTAACCAACACATCCCTAGTATTTTTTATCTTCCCTTTGAACGTTTCTGTGTTTGCTCCTGTGTTCTGTCCTAGTGAGTCACAGCAAAGTTCCTGAAGTGGTGCCTCTGCTTCAGGAGCTTGATCATTTGTTGATTTTGCTTTAATAATAACACATGTTTCACCATTAGTTATGACGTTGGATATTGATTTGGAAAAGATATTTATTTCTTAGCAAGTTAAAGAACTGTTTTGTTTCTGTTTTGAGGCTCTTTATTGGTAAAGAGGAGTTATTTAACATTTACCAGTACAGTATTTTAATAACCCTTGAAATGACGTGTACATTTTTTTCAATCAGCAATATTTATTGTCTGCTACGTGCCAGGTGCTGCTACTCTGTCATCTGATTCTCATCCCTCCCTTTTATCAGCTGCAATGTCCCAGGCAATATGCTTAACTTTGAGCTTTTTCTGTCTTACGTAGGAAGTGGTATCTTGTTTGTACTTCCACCAGGGCAGTGGTGAGACTCTCTGAGGTCAAGTTCTTACAACAGTGTTGGGCGCCATGTTAATAATGCTGCTCGCTCTCCCCATTCCCTTCCCCTCCCTCCCTCTCCTCTTTCTGTTTCTCTCCCTCTCCCCGCCTCCCTTGCTCTCTCCATCCTCCTACCCTTCCATCTCCGCTCCTCTCTCTCCTTCCTACCACCCTCCCCACCACCTCCTCTTCCTCTCTCATTCCTCTTCACTAACCCCCTTTTTTCTGTCTTATGGTATGAAGCTGCTAGCTTCCTTGAAGAAGAGAAATAACTGAGAGGCGCTCCTGGGGGATGGGTGTGGTTGGCGTCGAGCAGGAAGGAGTAGTGCTGGTGCAGCAGAGAGAGAACATGTCGGCCGAGCCAGATGCCAGCCACTCAAGTGTCAGCGATGAAATGGACTCCAGCTCAGGCACACAACCAGGACATCTCATTTCTTGTGTGAGGAGGGAAGTGATTAACAAACAAACAAGGCTTTCCCTTGAAGACAGGCACGTGTCAGGGGCACGTGCATTTGCCAAGGGAAAATGGCAAAAAGGAAGCTTGCTAACAGTATAGGATTAGCTTTACAGTTTTGCATATTTTACCTTCACTTTCTTCTACAGAAGTAAGTTTTTGCTCCTATAACAACCGTAACTAATGTGGAAAGCCCACCATAAACAGACTTTGACAATTCAGTTTTGAAACTCACATCAACCCACAGTATTTGTATAGCACACTAAAATTTTGTATATTTCCCTCCTAAAATAATCAAATAGAATATTCAGAGATTGCTAGCATTTTTATATCCCTTCCCCAAATCAAACAGGCAGAAACTCCATTAAGCCAAGATTTCCAGTGAATCTTTTCCTAGCGCTTTCAGTGTCAAAAATAACCTCTTGTCTCTTGTAAAAGCCTGGAATCACTGAGAAATTTATGCCAGGTGTGAGAGGCATTGATAGATATATAGTCTAGAGATAGAGATAGAGGCAGGGGGTGGAGAGGAAGAAAAAAAAATGCAGGGTTTTTTTTCTTCTTCTTTTTCAGTGTGGGGTCTGGGAGCAGAAACAGTGAGAGACATGCCCAACTCCTAATACTTGGAAAAGGGTAGAGGTCTGAAGGTTGCCAAAGAAGTGGACCATCGACCCCACTCTTTCAATAGTCCCTGTAGGATCCTGAAGGAATAGCCATGTTGCTCTGACCACCATCTGTTCACCCCACTGGTGCTGGAGGGACACCCCAATTAGACAGTATGAGATGACTGAACACACAGCGCCCAGCGCTGCACAGCTGAGACTGAGAGCAGTTATTTAACCACATGCATTACCAGCCCCAGGGGCAGGGAGGATATCATACCCCACACAGGCCCACTGGGTGCTCTCAGGAGCAGAGGGAATAATAAGCAGGGCACTGGGAGGCAGGCTTGTAGCCACAAGAGGAGGCAGTGTCCCCTGGCTCTCTTAGTCTGATGTAAAGTCCAGTTATGAAAATTGATGCAGGAAGTAAACATGGGTGTAGATTAACTCCGGGAGAGATGTCTAGGGCTTTCTGATTAGTATCAAGAACATTCAATCCTTGGAAGAGAAAAACTCAGTGTGCATCTCTCCTGCTGACTGGGTCATGACCCAGATGGTGGACCCAGTGTTAGGATCTGAGAAACTTCCCTTTACTCTTGTTTGCTACACTTACTTGCTTCATTGAAGTATAATTTACATACCACAAAATCCACCTGTTCGATGTATACAGAACATTGTAGAAGGAAATCGAAAAGACCTAAATCAATGAAAGACATGCTGTGTTCATGGATAAGGAGACTTTTAACGTTGTTAAGCGGATGGTACTCCCCAAATTGATCTCATTTCTGCCCTTTCTTCTCTTTGCCTTCTAGTGCTCCCATTATATGTGTGTTGCTTTGTTTGATGGTGTCCCACAGGGCTTTGAGGCTCTCTCCATTTTTCTTCATCTTTTTTTACCTCTTTTCTTCAGATTGGATACTTTTACTCATCTATCATCAAGTTTGCTGAATTATTTTGTTAACTTGAATCTGCTTTTCAACCCTTCTAGTGAGTCTTTAGTTTTCATTATCATACTTTTAAATTCCAGAATTTCTGTTTCATCTTTTTAAAAAAGATATATTTTTAAATTCCCCTTCACCTTTTTCACCCATTCCCCCTGGCGACCATCAGTTTGTTCTTTCCATAAATCTGTTTTTATTTGGTTTCGTTTCACATTCAACATACAAGTGAAATCATACAGTATTTGTCTTTCTGTGTCTGACTTATTTCACTTAGTATAATACCCTTCTAGGTCCATCCATGTTGTTGCAAATGGCAAGATTTCATTCTTTGTTATCGCTGAGCAATATTCCATTGTGTATGTGTGTGTGTGTAATATATATCCCATCTTAACCTATTTATTTATTGATGCACACCTAGGTTGTTTCCTATCTTAGCCATTGTAAATAACGCTGCAGTAAACATAAGGGTGCATACATCTTTTCAAATTAATGTTTTCATTTTCTCCAGATAAATATCCAGAAGTGGAATTGCTGCATTGTACAGTAGGTCTGTTTTTAATTTTTTGAGGAATCTCCATACTGTTGTCCATAATGGCTGCACCAATTTACAATCCCACCAGCAGTGTTTGAGGGTTTCCTTTCCTCTACTTCCTTGCCACCACTTGTTATTTGTTGACTAAAAAATAATTCCTGGTTCTTTATTTGTATCCTCTATTTGATGGGTCAATGCTATCATACTTTTACAAAATTCTATAGCATGGTTTTTCTTTTAATTATTTTATTGTTGTTCGAGTACAGTTGTCTGCATTTACCCTCCGCCACTGCCCTCCCCAGCCAAACCCACCTCCCCTCCCACACCACTTCCACCTCCCTTGATTTTGTCCATGTGTTCTTTATAGTTGTTCCTGAAAACCCTTCCCTTCTTTTCCCCCTTTATCCCCTCCCATCTCCCCTCTGGTCACTGTCAGCCTGTTCTCAATTTCAATGTCTCTGGCTATATTTTGCCTGCTTGTTTGTTTTGTTCATCAGGTTCCACTTAAAGGTGAGATCATATGGTATTTGTCTTTCACTGCCTGGCTTATTTTACTCAGCATAATGCTTCCAGTTCTATCCATGCTGTTGCAAAGGGTAGGAGCTCCTTCTTTCTTTCTGCTGCATAGAATTGCATTGTATAAATGTACCATAGTTTTTTGATCCATTCATTTACTGATGGGCACTTAGGTTGCTTTCATCACTTTGCTATTATAAATTGGGCTGCTATGAACATAGGGGTGCATAGGCTCTTTTGGATTGGTGTTTCAGGGTTCTTATGATATAATCCCAGCAGTGGAATTGCTGGGTCAAAAGACAGTTCCATTTTTAGTTTTATGAGGAAAGTCCATACTGTTTTCCACAGTGGCTGGAGCAGTCTGCAAACCCACCAACAGTGCCCTAGGGTTCCCTTTTCTCCACATCCTCTTCAACACTTCTTGTTTGTTGCTT